TTTTGGTTGCAGCCGTCATTGTTGTTTGGCGGGCCCAGGCTGGATTCGAACCTGCCACCTTAGGTGTATGTGGCTGGCACCTTAGCCACTTGAGCCACAGGTGCCGAGCCAGCCAAGAATAATTTTTAATCCCTTTCTAACTCTGTCTCTGTTGACATCCTATTTCCATTAAGCTACTGAATTTTACTCAACTGTCCCCAAATTAGTTTTCTGTCTATTCTGTATTCTAGTGAACATTCTGACCCTGCTTGCCACTGTAGGCTTGCTGACGGGGAGGGTAGTCTGAGGCCTAGGCATACCTACTTGAGTCATTTGGAGTGTCTGCACATATCAAGGTTCTTACAAAGTCTTGAAAATGTTCTTCTTAGCAAAGTATCACAAGAATGGAAGAAAAAGTATCCAATATACACAGCCCTATTATGAAACTAATTTATAGTTTTCATATGAAAACTATAACCTAATTATAGCCTAAGAATATGGAGGGGGGGATGGGTGGAGGGAGAGGGACTGGAGGGATCACTTCTATGGTTTATCTTACAAGGGTACAAGTGAATCTTTCTAAGAGTAGAATATAACCATCTTAACACAGTAACTAAGAAAATGACACAAAGGCTATGTTAACCAGTTTGATGAAAATATTTCAAATTGTATATGAAAACACCACACTGTACCCCATGATTGCATTAATGTACACAGCTATCATTTAATAAAAGAAAAAAAGAAGAAAGTAATTTGAGGCAGGGACCTCTTACTAAAAGTTGTACCCTGATGTACACTTGGGCCATCCTCCTCTGGAGGAAGAGTTCAGGAGTGACTGTTGCTACTGGGAGAAACCGTTTGCTTTTTCTTTTAAAATATCTTGTCACCAAGTATTCTTTGAAGGAGATAACCTTTGAGGTATTGGATATAGATCTGATCCTGGTGTCAGGGGATTGGGGTTGCATCTACATACAATAACCCAACCTTTGACAAATCACTCAACCCAGGGTGACCAGATTCTAACATCTGTAAGGCGGGACAACATGGGGGGAGGCGAGCTGGGGCAGAGCAGGGGCGGGCTGAGCAGGGGCGGAGCGGGGGCACGGGGCAGGGGACAGCAGGGCAAGGCCTGACAGCAAGGCAAACTTTGATAAGCAGTTCTCGATAATCACTTCTCAGCAATTATTTATTACAGTTTAACATTATAAAATTAACAAAAATAATATAAAATTCATATTCTGGCGAAATAGCCATATGGCAGCCGAAAACCGTATATTCCCTTCTTGTTCTCCAGCCCCTTCGTGCATTCTTTCCAAAAATCGGGACTTTTTTAAAACGCCACAGGATACAGGACAAATTGTTGAAAAGCAGGACTGTCCTACCAAAATTGGGGCGTCTGGTCACCCTACTCAACCCCCAAGTCCTCCACATCTTCATGGTGGAATATATTTGCCTGTATACCACAGTCCCCCCTTGTCCATGGGAGATACACAAACTATGTGAATAAACCATGTATACCACCTGACATTCTGAAATTTTAAAAATACCCTTAAAAAGCCAAAATTATGCAAAAGGATTATGATGAAGACTTATGTGAGATTTATTAAGAATTTCTACATCTTGATGTTTTTAGTTTTGGCTCTCTCCAATCCCTGGTAGTGATTGGTGGTGAAACCCTTAGGAAGGATTTGGTTTTTTGGAGGATAGGGTGGGGAAGAAGATGGCAAAGGAGAGGGAATCCAAAGACACTAAGTCTCACTTTAAATTTATCTTGGTTCAGAAACCTAAGGGGTAGACTAGGTAGTGGTAGTATTATAGCACATTTTAGGATCATTCAGCCACCTCAAAAGTGAAATTCAAAAAAAAAAAAACAGTTACTTGAGGGTTATGATTCATTTTAAATCCTTTTAAAAGGTTATGGGTCCTTTTAAATCAATACTTTAGTCTCAATATCCACATAACTAGTCATTACAAATTTTGAGACTGATGAATTGTACTGGAAATATTAAAGGAAAATATAGTTATTTTTCTTTTGATCCATTTAACATGCAGGCATATATGTGCATTATTATGATATTTTCTTATAGTTTTCTTTCTTGGCTTTATAAATTTAGTTATGCTAGGCTGACTTTCAGCTTTGTCATGTTTCTTCGCCCTTTGACAGTTTAGGTATTTCTGGAAAAAAGAGTTAATAAGTCTAGGAATATTAAATATAATGGTTCCTCTCTTCTTTGTTACCATGTATCAAAGTGCTCTAAAATGAAATCCAAGTATAGCAGAAAAACTGAGGAAGAAGACTGTGAAATAAAAGGCATATACCTTTGTTTCTTCATCAAATTCTTCCATGGACTCTATCAATTTTCCCGGTTCCAGCTCACCTAGTGGAAAGGGGTAATCAGTTCCCAAAATGACTTTATCCTAAAAAAAAAAGAAAACACATTTTCATCTGTAATTCTAGAGAACATCGAAAAGGCTTTTGTGACAATTATATTTACTTATTACAGACATTCCTGTAGTAAAATAACAGTTTTCTTCCTGATTAATTGAACACAAAACTGGTCTAAATTTGTAAAGATTTAGAACTTATTCTTTTTTTTCCAGCAGGTGTCGCTATTAGGTTTCCTAAAGTTGCAGTTCAACCCCATTCTTTCTCTCTTTGAAATAACTGATATATATAGTATACTGAAATATAAGAAATAGGTATTTATTTACTAAAACATATTTAGATGAAATGAAGGAATATGTATTTCTTAGAATGATACATTGTAATTGATCCCACATTTTTTGAAAACATACTAGAGTTGGAAAGGAAAAATTAAAAAAACAAATAACTGGATAAAAAGTTAAAAAAAAAACCCAAATAATTCCTATCTCTACAAAATGGGTCATGATGTAATGATATAGTTTTGAATCTGCATTTGACATTTTATACAACATAATATATAGGGTTTGTCAATCAATAAATGTGTTAGAATCAGGCAATGTGTTAGAATCTAGGTGTACATTGGTCAAAAAAACAGACATGGTCCTGTTCTCAGAGGATTCATAATCAAGTGAGAAACAGAGGCATTAAATCAGTAATGGTAGTTTTTCAAAATAACATAAGAGAAACATTTCGAACTAGAAGTTTTACTTCTAGAAATGTATCCCATTTACACACTTATAACGGAAACGTATACAAGGGAATTAATTGCAACATTATAGCGGCAAAAAACTAGGCAACTGAATATCCAAAAATAAATAGAATAAAAAACTAGGGAAGTAGAATATCCAAAAATAAAATAGTAATAAAGAGAATTTATATATATTGAAATGGAATACTCTCCAAGTTATATTTCAAAGAGGAAAAAAGTGTAGAACAATGTATCTGATGTGTTGATATTTCCCTTTTAAAAAAGGAGTCTTTAGACCCACAAATATACATTTATATATGCTCAGTCTATTTCGGGAATGATATCTAAGAAACAAGTAACACTAGTTGCCTCTGTGGAGGAAGACAGAGATTTCGGAATCAGAAGAGCCTCCTCCCCTTCCTGGAGATAATTCACATACCATAAAAATTCACCCCCTTCAAAGTATACAGTTCGTCAAATTCATGAGTCTGTGTAATCATTACTACTAATTCCAGAATGTTAAAAAATATTGTATTCATTTTATGTAACCATAGACTATTATCACTCCGCAAACAAACCCACAGCAATCAGCATTGCTTCCCTCTTCTTTCCTCGCCACAGCCTTTGGAAAATACCAGTTTACCTCTATGTCTACATAATTTCCTATTTTGGACATTGATATAAATGGAATCATATAATATTTGCTATAATGAAAACTATAGTATAGTTTTTACTACAATGTTTTCAAGGTTCATCTATGTTCTAGTTGGAATCAGTATCTACCTAAGAGGAAAATCGCTGTGTCATATGGTAAGTCCATACTTAACATTTTGAGGAAATATTTACCACTGTGACTGCAGCTTTCAATATTGCTACCAGCCATGTATGAGGGTTCTACTTTCTCTGGATCCTCACCAACACTTTCTACTATCTTTTTGATTATGGCTATCTCAGTATGTGTGAGGTGGTTTCTCATTGTGGTTTTGACTTGCATTTCTCTAATGATTAATTATGTTGACATTTTTTTCGTATGCTTATTGGCCACTTCTATTTCTTCTTTGGAGCAATATATATTAAGATCCTATATGTCTGTCTCAGAACCCGTGGCTCAGTGAGTAGGGTGCCAGCCATGTACACTGAGGCTGGTGGATTCAAGGCCAGCCTGGTCCTGCTAAACAACAATAACAACTGCAACCAAAAAATAGCTGGGTGTTGTGGTGGGTGCCTGTAGTCCCAGCTACTCAGGAGGCTGAGGCAGGAGAATTGCTTAAGCCCAAAGAGTTTGAGGTTGCTGTGAGCTGTGATGCCACAGCACATTACTGAGGGGAACATAGTGAGACTCTGTCTCAAAAAAAAAAAAAGATCCTATACATCTATTCATGTCTATTTTGTTATCTTATCATTGTGTCATAAGAGTTCTTTATATATCTAAATTCTAGAGCTTTATCAGATAAATGGTTTGGGAATGTTTCCTCCATTCTCTGGGTTTTCTTTTTTACTTTCTTGGTATTGTCTTTTGAAGTACAAATGTTTTTAGATTTAATCTATATTTTTCTTTGGATGTTTATACTTTTGGTGTCATATCAAAGAAATTATTGCCTAATCCAAGGTCACAAAGATTCACACTTATATTTTCTTCTAGGAATTTGTGGTTTTATCTTTTTAAGTCTCTGAACCATTTTGAGTTAATTTTTTGCGTATGGAGTAAAGAAGGGTTCCAACTTTGGGAGTTTTTGCATGTGGATACACAATTGTCCCACTACAATCTGTTGTAAAAACTATTCTTTCTCTTACTGAATTGTATTGGCATTGTTGTTGAAAATCATTTGATCTTTGTAAATGTTCTTAGGCCAGTATAACATAGTCTTGATTACAGCAGCTTTGTAGAGTTTTGAAAATGGGATTAAGAGTCCTCCAGCTTTGCTCTTTTTCAAGATTGTTTTGGCTATCCTGGGTCCCTTTCATTTCTACATGAATTTTATGGTCAGCTTGTCACTGCTTAAGAAACAAAAGGCATCTGGAATTTTGATAGATATTGTATTCAATCTGTAGATCAATTTTGGGAGTATTGGTGTTTAACAACATTGAGTTTTAACAACATTAAGTTTTCCAATCCATGTCATGAGATGTCTTTGTCCTTCCTTCCTTCCTTCTTCCTTCCTTCTTTGAGACAGAGTTTCACTTTGCACTCACCCTGGGTAGAGTGTCCTGGCATCATAGCTCACGGCAACCTTGAACTCTTGGGCTCAAGAGATCCTCTTGCTTCAGTTTTTCATTTTTAGCAGAGAAGGGGTCTTGCTCTTATTCAGGCTGTGTCTTGAACTCAAGAGCTTAAGCAGTCCTCCTGCCATGGCCTCCCAGAGTGCTTGGATTATAGTTTTGAGTCACCACGCCTGGCCTGGTCTTCTTTAATTTTCTTCAATAATGTCTTGTTTACAGTATATAAGTTTTGCACTTTTTTGGTTATATTTCTCATAAGTATTTTATTCTTTTAAATGCTATTATAAATGGAATTGTGTTCTCAATTTCATTTATTGATTGTTCATTGCTAGTATATAGAAATACAATTAATTTCTTATATATCTGTTTGGTATTCTAAAACCTTGCTGGATATTTATTAATCCTAATAGTTTACTTGTAGATTATTTAGGATTTTCTATATAGACAGCTGTACCATGTAGAAAGAGATAATTTTTATTTCTTTCCAATCTAGATGCCTTTTTATTTATTTTTCTTGCCTAATTGTCTTGGCTAGAACCTCCAGTATGATGCTGAATAGAAGTAGTAGGTATGGAGACTTTGAGTCTTTCACTATTAAGAACAATGTCAGTTATGTGGGCATGTCGTTCATGCCTGTAATACCAGCACACTGGGAGGCCAAGGTGGGTGGATTGCTTGAGCTTAAGTGTTCGAGACCAGTCTCAGCAAGAACAAGACACTATCTACCAAAAAAATAGAAGAAGTAGCTGGGCATCATTGTGTGTGCCTTTAGTTTCAGCTGTTCAGGAGGCTGAACCAGGAGGATCTTTTGAACCCAAGAGTTTGAGGAACCTATGATGTGTGCCAGGGCAACAGAATGAGATTGTGCCTCAAAAAAAGAAAAAAAAAAGAATTAGTTTCAGAGAGTCTCACTTTGTCACTTCGTCACCCTCAGTAGACTGCCATGGAGTGACAGCTCACAGCAACCCCAGCTCTTGGGCTTAGGTGATTCTCTTGCCTCAGCCTCCCAAGTAGCTGGGACTACAGGCACCCACCACCTTGCCTGGCTATTTTTTTATTGCAGTTTGTCTGGGGCCTGGTTTGAACCCGCCACCCTTGGTATATGGGGCTGGTGCTCTACTCACTGAGCCACAGGCAGTGCCTGGCATCGTGGTTCTTTATTCTTAAATAAGTTAGTGTTGATTTCCTTAAAAAAAAGGACATTTTTCCCCCTCCATGACCACAGAATGCTTCTCAAAATTGGGAAATTTAGCATTGATATGATGTTGCTATGTTATCCACAGTTCATATTCAATTTTTTTCAATTGTCCCAGTAATATACTTTATAGCTAATTATTTTTCCTTGTCTAGGATCCAGCTGATGGTCCTATGTTAAATTTAGTAGTCATATCTCTGACATTTTCCTTAATTTTTTTTTATCAATTACTCTTTTTTTTGGTCACTTTTGACCTGAGATTTTTGAAGAATATAGACTAGGTATTTCACAGAATGTCCTCAGTTTGTGTTTGTGTGGTATTTCCTCATGATTATATACAAATTGTGCATTTTTGGTAGGAATACTAAAGAAGTGATATTAGTAGGGCCATGATAGTATTGGTCATTTTGATTATTTAGTTAAGTTGGTGTTTGTAAGGTTTTCTACTGTGAAGTTATATTCCTTCAAAATTAATAAACAGGCTTGGCACCCATAGTACAATGGTTAGGCGCCAGCCACATACACCAAGGGTGGCAGATTTGAACCAAGCCTGGGCCAATTAAACAACTGCAACAAAAAAAATAGCTGGGCATTGTGGTGGGCGCCTGTAGTCCCAGCTACTTTGGAGGCTGAGGCAAGAGAATCACCTAAGCCCAAGAGCTGGAGGTTGCTGTGAGCTATGACGCCATGGCACTCTACGCAGGGTGACATAGTGATACTCTGTCTCAAAACAAAACAAAACAAAATTAATAAACAATTTGTGGGGAAATACTTTGAGATCATGTAAATATCTTGTTCCTGATCAAACTTGCTGGGTTTTATCATTTCATAATGCTTTTCTATTGTTTATTCTATACTCATTATTTATAAGGGAGATATTTCATTATCTA